GAACCTTTCAGAGAACTATATGGCACGTGCCAATATTAGACTATAACGATAAACAAATTTCAGCCATTTCATATAAAGTAGGGTTGGGCTACAGTAAAACACATTTCAGCCATTTCATATAAAGTAGGGTTGGGCTGTAAGGAACCAGTCCAGAAAAAAACTTTGTTTAAAAATTGAAATAATTGACTGGATTTTTTGAGTTTAAACAATTGATGAAGGTTTTGGGTTCCTATTAGACTTCATCTAAACAGTCAGTTTTTTTTTTTATTATTCAAGATCTCATAATTGAAAATCAAATATTCTACGCGAAAATAAATGCACTGAAAGGTTCCATAATCTTTTTGTCATGAGTTGTCAAAAATAAGGTTATGAATTACTGAAATAACATTAATACTAGCTACAATAACCTCTGAACAAATAGCCCAGTAGACATGCACGCTAACAACCATTTATATTGAGATTATTAAAATAATAATAATAAGGCACTCAACATAAAGACTAAAGATAATTATCATCATATGCAAGAGTCTCAATGCCACAACAAATCAATAACACATGTCAGGATAAAGTAAGCATCTCTTCTACAAATTACTAACTTAGAAAAAATTATGTCCAAAAAATTAACATGTGCTGACATTCAAAACCACTTCAAACTAAAGCAATGTTACCGTTCAAACGCCGTACCTGTGTTGCGTCGGTTCATCACAATGAACTGAAACCTAGGCTGGGTATTTCTGCAGAGATGCAACAAAATGAACAGAAAGAACATAATCACTTCCCGCAAAATAACTTCAATGCAGCAAAATTGCGATAAAAAAAAAAAAAAAACTTCCAATAAGAAAAAACTGCCATAGAATAAACATACACACCGAAACAAAAGTCCAAAAAAGAAAAAAAAAACCAAAATTTATAGTAAGCATGACAAATTACGATAAGCAAAGATGAAATACTCAATAAAAAAAAGTAATCGACAGATCCAGCTACCTCTTTACAACAAATAGAGAGCCTTCGACGTCCTTCCGACTCTACAACAAGAAGATTTTAATCAAGTATCAAACGGAAAACTCTCGCCCCAAAGAGAAGAGCGTAAAAAAAAGAAATAGTTCATATTGCGTACCCATCGATTAGCCTCGATGTTAAATTCGTAGAAAGTGACGTGTGCGGCGGTCATCAAGATCTCCTCTACATAGGGATCGATCCTCTGGAGCACAGTCAGATTGAGCACCTTGGTGCTCTGCTGATCCAAGTTCGGCATTAGCTTCGACATCTCGGCGGCAAATCCCTAGAACCGCAAACCCTAGCTCCCCTTTATTAGCCGAATTCGCAGTGCACCGGAGGTCGACGATCCTTCGAGGTGCCGATGTCGCGGACTCGGCCGAGGAGCGGACAAGCGACGGTGTCCGAGGTTTTATCGCCGAGAATTTAGCCCTGCAATTTTTTTGTTATTAGGAGATTTACATACATACCCTTCAATTATTATGTATTTACATATCTTAACCCTCAAATTTAATTTTTACATATATATAATCTTATTTATAAATGAAAAGTCGTATTTTAATTTTTAGATTTTTCAATATTAAAATTTTTTTATGTGAAATGAAAATTTTGGATGACATAAATGTTAAAATTAAAGTTTAAATGTTAGATATGTAAATATATAGGATTTTGGTGGTATATATATAAATACCCTTTTTATTCATTTACATGCATAATTATTATAATTATTATGTATTTATATAATAAACATTTAATTTCTATATTTACATATCACATAAAAAATATTATAAGCTTATTTATATTATTGCTAGCAAAACAAATATATAAAATATGTACTTTTTATTGAACTTAAAAAATAGGAATCACAAACAAAAATAAGAGTTGATTTTTGTGAATTAATTCAGCTTGAAAGTATCTTAAATAATAATAAATATAATAATACATGGAAATTTGGTTTGAATAATAATATGTATTTTTATAGATATACTGAAGTAGTATTTAATGTAGTTGGAGGTTGCAATTAAATATGGGGAATACATAACTTTTGTGTGTCAAAAAGTTTACGGTGATAGCATAATAATTTAATGTTTTAGCATTGTGTGACATCCAGCACACATACAGATAATAAAAAAGAACTAAATGAGACATCAAAAAGTTTTACCTAGAAAAATTCAAGTGGCATAGCTTAGTTAAAATGATTCATTATGAGTTTTTAAGTACGAAGATAAATCTTTATCCCACGACCGAAAAAAATGTTAGAAGGTTTCATCGAGTATAATGTCCATATATAAAAAGATTTTTTGTTCGACGATCGAAAGCAAAATGTGTTTGAGATACGTCATTGCATGGTATTTAAAATATTAAGTTATTATGTATACAAGAAACTTCGTCACTCAATAAAGTATTTTGTACTCTACAATGTGTGTCGTTACTTTGCAATATGCATCATTGCTCCGCAG